ACGAGGAAGAGGAGGAGAAGGAGGAAGAGGAGGAGGAGGAATAAAGTTTTCCAAATGCACATGAAGGGCAGTATTTTAGGAGAAGAAAGCAGACCAAGAGCAGCAGTAGGAAATTAGGCCAGTGGTTCTTCAAGTGAGGTCGGTCATTGGACCACCAGCATGGAACTCTCTGGGAGTTGCTGGCCAAAATCGCTAGAGATGAGCTCCTTAATGAGCTCCTTCATGGGTTCAGCTAGGTTTAAGAATTGCAATCACTGGTTCAGACTACATTGTAAAAATAAAAATAAAAAGAAGACATTTCTTCTACATATGAGTAGCAGCCAGACGTTGCAAAGTATTTTCCAAGATATTTTAAAAGAAGAACGCATGCACTTGTCTGATGGCAGGACCATGCACAGATGACTCATTTCAAGGTTCAGCTGAAGGGACCACAATGTCTACTCCCAGCCCATATTTTAGGCATTTTTCTTGGTCACTGTCACCCAGTCCCAAGGCTGGGGCTGGAGACAGGCTTATGGGATTTCCCAACCTCATTAGTCTCTTTGTTGCTTTCCGAAAACCCCCAGAGGCTTTGGAGACTTGAAAATAGGAAGATGACGGCCTTTGCCAAAGTCACTTTCAATTAGACAAGGATTTTTTTTTCTGTTTATAGACTTCATAGAGCTCTGATAATACTACTACTCTTTCTTGTGGAGGGACTACAGGAAGCTCTCTGATTAAGATAGATTTTGAAAAATGGTTTCTTGGCAATATCTTCAGATTAGAAATAAATTGGTGATTAAAAATAGAATGAATGTTAAATCTTTTCAAGATGTCATAACAATATATAGCAGCAAGATTTCTTTTCTATAGAAATATATATATAAAACCCAAAACAGGGACTTTTGAGAATTATTTAAGAGGCATTAAAAACTCCAAGTTAAAAATAGCTTTTACCAGACCCCAGGAGGAGCAAGTAGAATCGGCAATTATCTAACAAGAACCAGGGCATAAAGATCCTTTAAGTCCTGTCTCAGGGATCTAGATAAGACAGGTCAGCTCTCAGCTCTGTGGTGCACAGCAGTGGTTAGGAGCACAGCACCTCAAGTCAGACCCACAGACCTGCCTTGCCTTTTAATCCCAGTGTTACCTCTCAGCAGTTTTGTGACCTTGGGCAACTGACAACTCTCTAAGCCTCAGTTTTCTCATCTGCAAAATGGGAATAAGAATAATAGCAGCCTGCCCTCATCCTCAAGTAGGTAGTTGGGAGGATGACTCAAGCTAACATTCGCAGGCCTCTGGCTCACCCTGTCTGGCACAGAGTAAGCACTGGTGCATGGTAATCACTGCTGTTATAAGGATTTCTATCACTTTTACTGTAAACCAAGGACTTTCTGTAATGCCAACATATTCAGGACACTTAGGAAGAGCTCTCTTTCGATGGGGTCAGACAGGGAAAGAAGGCTGTTGCTTAGGAGCATTAAACTTCTGGATTTTAATCGTGCGTATCCGTTAAGTCCCTCATCTGAGATTCAACCTTCTCCAGGAGCTATCTCCTGCTCCCAATTTCTCACAGCAGGTAATTCCGGCACCCACCACACTTTGCCAGCTCATTATATTCTGTCTTAGATTTTCCTTTAATCTCTTCATGTGCACAAACTCCATCTCCCCAACCAGACTATAGGTTTAGTTCATGCCATACACCTTATTTTTTGATTTTTTCCATCTCTCTGAGCTCAATACACAGTATATACATAGTGGGTAAATAAGTAAGAATAAGAGTATGTGAATATGTAGGTCACTATTAGCTCTCTTCTCCTTCTTCCTTCTAATAATAGCAGTCATAATATTAGATTAATAATAAAAGCTTCTGCATATTGAGTCCTTTCTGTGCACTAAATGAAACACTTTAAATGCCGACCTCCCTGGACCGTCTACAACACCATGTGACCATGCTCTGGGTGTCTGCCAAGAGAATTGTGATGAGAAGAGTAATACCTAGGGACAGTTTCCAGCCTCACTTAGCCAAGTTCAGAAACATGGTCTGAGCGATCAGCTCCAGATCCTGAGCAGAAGACATCAACCTCCATCCCTTTTCACCCATCACAATCCAGCTGATGGTTTTAGAGCTCCTGTTATCAAAGCTTCCCCAAAGCAGAGATTTTGGAAGCTCCCAAAGCAGAATTTTAAGGACAAGGGATTTGTACCTTTGAGGGGCACAGGCTGAAAATTCCTTCCAACTGTTTCCTGTCTGTCTTCTAAGGTTGACCATAATGCACATTAAGAAATGTATATTATACTGCAAGTCAAGTCTGTATTTCAACTTTTTTTTTTTTTTTTTGAGACAGAGTCTCGCTCTGTTGCCCAGGCTGGAGTGCAGTGGCACGATCTTGGCTCACTGCAAGCTCTGCCTCGCAGGTTCACGCCATTCTCCTGCCTCAGCCTCCCAAGTAGCTGGGACTACAGGCACCTGCCACCACACCTGGCTAGTTTTTTTTGTATTTTCTTTTTAGTAGAGACGGGGTTTCATGGTGTTGGCCAGGATGGTCTCGATCTCCTGACCTCGTGATCCGCCCGCCTTGGCCTCCTAAAGTGCTGGGATTACAGGCGTGAGCCACCACGCCCGGCCGACCCTCTGATGTTTTTCTATTCTATTTCATTCTTTCTTTAAAAATGATGCTTGAGAGAATGTGAAGAAATTGGAACCCTTATACATTGCTGATGGAAATGTAAGATGCTTTAGTGTCTTTGGAAAACAGTTTGACAGTTCCTCAAAATCTTAAACATATTGTTACCAAATAATCTAGAAATTCCACTCCGAAGTATGTATCCAAGAAAAACAAAAGCGTACATCTATAGAAAGACTTGAACATGAATGTTCATAGCAGCATGATTCATAGGAGCCAAAACATAGTAACAACCAAATGTCCATCACTGACAAATGAATAACCGAAATGTAGTATATCTATCAATGGAGTATTATTCACCATAAAAGGAAACAAAGTACTGATCTATGCTACAACATGTATGGCCCTTGAAAACGTTATGCTAAGTCAAAGAGGCCATCACAAAAACACATATGATAAGATTTCACTCCTATGAATGGTCCAAAATAGGCAACTCTATAGGGACATAAAGTGAATTTGGTTCTGGGAGGGAAGATGGGGGGAATGTGGAGTGGGTATGGAGTTTCTTTCTGGGGTGATGAAAATATTCTACAACTAGAACCTGGTGATGGTTGCATAACTGCTAATATAAAAAACAATTAAATTACACATTTAAGGGGTAAATATATGGGGTATGAATTATATTTCAGTAGAGCTGTTTTAAAATGATGGTTGTGATCCAATAAACTGATTCCACCACTCCCAGTGGTCACAAGTCAGGTGAAAACCATTGTCCTAGAGAATGGTGCCCCTCGGCCCTGTCCTCGTCACGAGAGTCACTGCCTGGCCTAGACAGTGAGGGAGATGGCCCGCTGTGGGTAGGTGCTGGACTGATATATGGAGGGGTGGCCATGTGGACAGAGGGTGAACGCCATCTGCAGTGCAGTGTCCACAGCCCTTTACAGTGGCTGGATCTTGATCACGTTTTCAGCAGAACTTGTCCTGCTAGAAGACTACATTTCTCAGCCTCCCTAATAGCTCAGGTGCCCAAGAACAGAAGCCCTTGCTGAAATTTCTGGAAGATTTCTTCCCATTTGTTTCATTGTGTTAAAATAGACATAACATAAAATTTACCATCTTAACCTTTTTTTTTTTTTTTTTTTTTTTTAACTGTAGAATTCAGTAGTGCTAAATACATTCACACGCTTGTGAAACCACCACCACCCTCTACCTCCAGAACCCTTCTCACCTTGCAGAACCGAAGCTCCGCACCCATTAAACACTGACTCCCCACTGCTCCCTCCCGGCCGCCCTGGGCGCCCACCACTCTGCTTTCTGTCCCTATGAATCTGACTACTCTAAGAGCTGCGTATAAATGGAATCATACAGTATTTGCCTTTCTGTGACTGGCTTATTTCACTTAGCATAATGTCCTTAAGTTTCATCTACTTTGTAGCATGTGTCAGGATTTCCTTCCTTTTTAAGACTGAATAATATTGCACTGTATGTACAGACCACATTTTAAAAATACGTTCATCTGTCTAAGGCAGTTGGGTGTGCAAATATCTCTTTGAGATCCTATTTCAATTATTTTGGGCATATACCCAGAAGTGGAATTGATGGATGAGAGGGTAATTCTATCGTTAATGTTTCTAGGAACTATCATACCATTCCCCACAGTGGCTGCATTTTACACTCCCACCCACAGTGCACAAGGGCTCCAATTGCTCCATGTCATTGCCAACCCTCAGGATTTTCAGGGTTTTCGACAGCAGCAGTCCTAATGGGTGTGTCTGGGAGTGACTTCTGGGAGTGGAGAGGCTGCCTTGGCCAGGGTGGTCAGCCCTTCTGCTCCTTTCTACTCTTCCCACCTCCAATTTGAATGTGATGGCTCAGTCTCCAGAAGCCAACTTATGACCCTGGAGAGGAATCAGCACCAAGGCTGGTGAAGCACAGGAGAAGCGACTGAGTCCCTGACCCTTTTCCGGAAGCCACCTCAGCTAGCTGCCTCTGGACTTTCTTTCCGTGGCTGAATAAGTCCCTAGCTTGCTTACACTACTGAGTTGAGTCTCTGGTATTAGCAGCCAGAGGAATTTCCAAATGATGTGCCATCTAAATGAGCACAAACTCCCCCCATTGCATGTAAACTTCAGAGACACCCTTTGAGGAAGAACAGCCCTGCTCCCACTCAGGCCTTGCCACCTCCCTTGCCCTCTGGAAGAACTTCTCCCTGAGTCCCCTCTCCAAAGTGAGAGGAGATGCCCGGTACCTCGTGATCTTGAATATCCTCAGCAACCGGACGCATCGGAGCACGGAGATGCCCAGTGGGGACATGATCTTGGTCTCTACCAGGATGGTCTCCAGGATGCCGCCACACACGACGAAGCAGTCAAAGCGGTTGAAGAGGGACACGAAGTAGGCCTGCAGGCCCAGGCTGTACATCTTCAGGAGCATCTCTGCCGTGAACAGGGCCAGCAGGGCCTTGTTCGCCGTGTCTGGCAGGCCCAGGAGAGGGATGAGATCCGAGCAGGGCCAGAGGAGGGCAGAGAGGGAGGCAGGGAAAGGAAATATAGTAATTATCTCCACTGGAAAAAAGATCCCCCATGACACCGCTCCCATCCACCTTGGCCAAAACAGAACAGTTAGGGCCAAGCCAGTGGGAAAGGGCTCTCTCGTCATAATCATAACAGACATTTACTGAGCATCTCTCATGCGCCATAGGCTCAGCACACACAAGCTCTACTCCTCATAGCAGGCCTGTGGAGATGGCACCACCATCGTCATGCCCATTTTCAGAGATGAGAAAGGAGGTTCAAAGAGGTGAGTAATCTGCAGGCCAACAGCTGCACTGTCTGAGTCCGACTTCTCCACCACCAGACCCCCTGCCTCCCAGGACTCTGGAATGCAGCTGTGGAGGATGGGGCCAGGTCTTCTCGACTGCCCAGCAATGATGATGAGGCCTGGCTAGCAGGACCCTCGTCCAGGGGCCCAAGGAAGGATAATGAGAACGAACGACTCATTGAAGACAGTTCCTTGTGCTCAGGCCCTATTCTCTTCTCTGCGTTTTTGCTCATTCCATCCTCACGTGTTCTGGTTAAGGCCACCTCGGGGCTGCAGGAAGGCCCCCAGGTATTTAAAATCCATGCTGGGAAGTTGGCAGCCAGGGGTCTGAGATAGGCAAACAAGCTGTAGCCCCTTTCCTCATCACCCGGGCCCACCAGTGACTTTGGGGCAGGCTGATGGTGTGGGCCCAGTCAGAGAAGCCTTGTCTGTTTTTAAAACAAGGTAGTGCATTTTACTGTGGGGCTTTAGAACTGCTAGGCCCTTGTTATCTCCAGCACAGCACCTGCCAAGAGCTCTGACCACTGTCTGCTTTCCCATCCACCTTCTGCCTGTGGTTATGCCCTCCCCTGGGCCTAGGGGCTGAGTTACCAGGAGGAAATCAGGGCAGAGCTGGGGCCGCCGCTCACCTTGGACTTCTGTGAGCCAGTGGGGCTGGTTGTAGTGCTCAGAGGCAATGGTGAGCGTGTTGAGGAACACCAGGAAAATCACCAGCCAGTAGAAGACATTAGACTTGACCGCGGCACGGCACTTTCTTCTGCAGAACCGATTCCACCGGCGCCAGTAGCGGCTGGAAAGGGGACAAGGAGAGAAGGGTGGGGATGGCTGTGAATTCAGGTTTCCTCCAACCCAAGATGCAGCCCCGTGGCTCTTCTCACCCCTCACTGACCTGGCCTTGCTAGAACAGCCCAACCTGGTGGCAAGGAGCCCAGCTTCTCACCCAGCTAACCAGGCCCTGCCGCCTTGGGGATGCCCCTGAACTCCTCCAAGCTTTAGTTCTCCCATCTGTGAAACGGGAAGAGGGCCAACCTCATGGGGTTATTGTGGGGATGGATCAAATACCTTTTAATGCATCTGGCTGTTTTGAAGTTGAAGGTGCTC